AAAGCCTCCGTCAGAGACCGAGGTCCGAAATGCGATCACAGGCCTCAATCGCTTTCGTGCCGCTGGCCCGGATTCCCTCCCACCTACACAATTTAAAGATAGAGGTAAGGTCCTCTGCAAAGCACTGACCTCCCTATTCGAACGTATCTAGAATGAATGGAGTGTCCCAGCTGATTGGAACGAATCGACTATAGTGGTAATATACAAGAAAGGCAGTCGACCAGTCTGTTTTAACTACAAGGGTATTAGCCCAACGCCAGTTGTGACTGAATTACTGGCCTCGATTCTCGTTCGTCGCCTCAATGTGGAATGGGAATCTTGGATTCGGGAAGAGCAGGTAGGTTTCCGCCCATGGCGTGCCTACATAGACCCTTTATTCACTTTGCGGCAGGTGCTAGAGCAGCGCCACACATACCGCAGACCGACAAAAGCTGTGTTCCTTGATTTCAAGAGTGCGTTCGATTCAGTCGATCGACCGATTCTGTTCGAATTACTTTCGCGAAAAGGTGTTCCCACGAATTATGTAAACATCCTACGTGCTCTGTACTCGAACACTACAGGCCGCGTCAGGGTCTACGGTGGCCTATCGGATAGCTTTCCGATTACAAGTGGCGTTCGTCAGGGTTGTTCGATTTCCCCATTTTTGTTCAATTTCGTCATGGATTCTATCATGGAGTGTTCCATTGCATAATCTCACGATGTAGGCGTTGAAATGCTTCCTGGTGGAAGATTATTTGATCTTGATTATGCGGACGATATCGTCTTGCTTTTGGATGATGTTGCGGCAGTACAATTAACCCTGAATAGCCTGTCTAGAGTGGTCCCATTATTTGGTATACAATTCGCACCTTCAAAGTGCAAAGGATTGCTGTAGGACCACCAGCCACTTTACGACCCCTTGACCCTTTGCTGACGAGAAACTCGATGTGGTTGATTAATTCTCTTACTTTGGCAGCAGTGTCAGCAACGATTGGCACATAGAAACTGACGTCAGCTAACACATTGCAAAGGCCAGAAGTGTCTGTTTCAACCTGCGGCATCTTTGGCGACAGAAGATGGTTTCCCTTCTTCTGAAAGGTCATGTATTGAAGGCCACAGTGAGGGCCGTTCTCCTCTATGTGAGTGAGACTTGACCCCTTCAGTCTGAAGATCTGAGGCGCCTTCAAGTCTTTGATCATCGTTGTCTGCAAAGCAGTGCTGGTGTCGAATGGTACCAAGGTGTCCGCAACGATGATGTGCGTAGGCGAGTACTAGGTGGTGATAATCATGCTAGCCCTCTAGAACAACAGATAGCACTGAATAAGTTGCGTTGACTCGGGCACGTGCTACGTAAGCCTGGTCACCGCATACCTAGGAGGGCCTTGTTTAGTCTGCCAGGTGTAGGGTGGCACAAGGCTCGAGGTGGAGAGAAGTTGACTTGGTAGTTCGAAATGAAGTCATTGACGACCAAACTGGGTGCCAGTGGTCCGTCTCGTCTTCCGGGTTGGAGTCCACGTGACTCGCCTTGTGCTTGGCCCGAGACTTTCCAGGACGTGGCTCACAACCGACACCAGTGGCGTGTCTGCTGTCGTCTCCTAATCGGATTGCCTGTTTGAAGTGTGCTTGATACTGAGTTATCTGCGGGTTAATGACGGATTATGACGCGTGGCAGTTAAAGCCGCAAGGAGGCTGTCTCGCCGATGCCACCTTATCTTTGCATTATGGCTAGCTGTTTGCGATGGTATGTTACCTACACAACGTGTGGACGCCTTGGCCTTTAATGTTTGCTTAGGGCATTAAGGTTTTCTGTTAAGTCCCGCTTTTCTTCCTCTTATTATTCTTTATTTCATAGGTCATCATTGTTGTATGGCAGCGAAGCATCAGTTCAAATGGCTGATGTACCGCTATTGTTGATGATGATGGTTGTGGGCATCCGATCCTAGATTTGCCTGTTACTTTGGCCTTAATGTGATAGCCACTGGACGCCTGCGCCTGTGAAGAAACCAGAGGTGACTTGCGCTGCACCAGCCACACACCTCAAATCTATGCAAATGCGAAGAAATGAGACCGGTTGGTTTTTGGATGGGAGCTACGTTTTAACAACGAAGTCATTGCGCAGCTGTAGCACTCTTGTCTGCCAAATTGGAAAGTGGTTGCATATGTACTTGATTTGTCGGCGTCCGTAATCGGATTTGTCTGTCACTGTGACGTCCATGGGGACAGTCACAGTACGCCTGCGCCTACAAATGGGACCATGGATGGCTTGCGCTGCACCACCCATAGTTCCACCCACACACCCCATATCCGGTGTAAACCTGAAGGAATAAGACCGAGAGGCATGTGAATGGGAGCCACGTTTCATCAGCGGAGCTGGCCCACACTCCTTCAACTAGCAGAACGGAGGCATTCCGGCCTAATTGGCAAATCATACACATCAGACATACACCAGGCGTTGGCTGGACCGTAGCCCGTTCCACACAGGATGGAACCACTCTTTAAGCCTAGCACCGTCACGAGGACGGTGCACTCCGTCCCCTCCAGCGACGACCAACTGTCTCCTGGAGCCAGTATGGACGAGATAATGGGTGATAGACAGGTAGGCACCTTGTCAACATTCACATCAAGCGCATCCACACCGGGGAGCTCAAACAACATCTACTTCTGAAATGCGAGATTAATCAGCACGCAAGCAAACTACGACATACGCTACCTTATTGGCCTGGATTAGTAAATCGAATGGGAGCGGACGTATCATGCTTCTATTCCGCGTGCAATAGTACCTTCTGCACCTGAGCATCCGCCCTTATGATCAGTCCACGGAGTTCGCATCGATCAAATTTGCCTTGGATTCGTAACACCTGAAATCAACATGAGTTTGTCATAAACTCACCTTCTTCATGTTCTGGTAATGTTATTTCCGGTTTGCTCGAGTGCCGTTTCCCTGCACTAAGTTAACCGTACAAAAGCGGTATGAATATCTTCGTGGAATTCATTCGGTATACATATATACATAGACTGGCGTCATCATGCACTACATGCATACGTACATAAGGCGGTGGTTTTGCCTGTATTCAGTTCAACGCTGACTGCATGAAACCACTCTTTGAACATAGCGCGGGCATGAGGACCGTACACCCCGCTCCTCCCCAGCAACGAATCAGTCTCTTGAAACCAGTAATCAAGGTGGAGCGTTTTAGACAAACAGGTTCCTTGTTAACATTCACACCAGGCGCAGCCACACCGAGGATATCTATAAGCAGCTATTCATCGAATATACATCAGTGATATTTCTCGCTTTTCAGCTCCCCATAACTCGTCTGAGTTGATGTTGTAACCCCAATATATTACCTGCTTGAAGAGTTGTGTCACTTACACTGATCATTTCCTGATTCGCGTATTGAAAGACAGCGATTCATTAACTTTGCCTTTGCTTTCCCCTGGACTGCCGTCGCTAAGGGTATGTACTGGGTCAGAGACGTAACTTGCGAACCTCATTCCTCTTGATAGTCTACGGGCTCAGAACGCAACTGCTACGGAGATGCATACGCTCTTTTTTTAATAACAGCCTGTATTACTCAGTTTTGTCTTTGTCCAGAGTTTTCTTGTTTGTCTACTGTGTATTATTGTCACTTGTTTGCATGCCTGGTCACCGCTTACCTAGGAGGGCCTTGTTCAGTCTACCAGGTGTAGGATGGCGCAAGGCTCGAGGTGGACAGAAGTTGACTTGGCAGCGGGAAATGAAGTCACTGACGACCAAACTGGGTGCCGTTGGTCCGTCTCGCCTTCCGGGTTGGAGTCCACGTGACTCACCTTGTGCTTGGGTCTAGACTTTCCAGGATATGGCTCACAACCGACACCAGTGGCGTGTCTGCTGTCGTCTCCTAATCGGATTGCCTGTTTGAAGTGCGCTTGGTACTGAGTTATCTGCGGGTTAATGACGGATTATGACGCGTGGCAGTGAAAGCCGTATGGAAGCTGTCTCGCCGATGCCACCTTATCTTTGCACGATAGCCAGCTGTTTGCGATGGTATGTTACCTACACAACGTGTGGACGCCTTGGCCTTTAATGTTTGCTTAGGGCATTAAAGTTTTCAGTTAAGTCCCGCTTTTCTTCCTCTTATTATTCTTTATTTCATAGGTCATCATTGTTGTATGGCAGCGAAGCATCAGTTCAAATGGCTGATGTACCGCTGTTGTTGTTGCTAATTTTGCGAAACTCAAGTATTTTTCTGCTACTGATTGGCAGTTTTGGGGGAACAAGGCTTTCGCTACTTTTGTTGGAGTCGGCATCGCAATCCACGATTAACGACCGAAGGTCAATTTCGTTTTAATATTTGGCTCCCATTTTCCCGCTAATATAGATCAAAATCTACAGGCTAAAATACGACCTCTCATCGTCATTTTGATGATTCGTTGCCAATGCAAGTCGCGATTGTTTTTTTAAATTCGTTAGCACCACGAGCCAGCTTCCACTGGGCTAGATGCTGGTTCAACTCTGTTGTGTCGCATGACCCAAGCGCGAATTTCTCCGCACCCAATAGATAACTGCGCATGGTTCGAAGCTAAATTGGGCGAATTACATGCCGGTATTCGTACAACCACATGCGAAATTAGTTGCATCAATGACCGACACAGACGACGACTGATAGGCAGGTGATTCCACTGGCCTATTGTTTGTCTACTCTCCCTGGACATTCAGTCAGCATCAGAAATCGTGTTCTAACTTGTGGGGGGGTGTGGAGATAAAACGAGGCTGAGAGTAATTGATCGCACCCACGAACGGGAAACAAACGGTACCCACCGATGGCAAATTGATTGCCAATGCACTATAACTGGCTAGCAGCAAGAGTAAAAAAGTGCGCCACAGGAGGTTCCCTCCTGAATTGCACAACTCTGACGAGTACACCAGAGGCATTAATTGCTGAGAAGCTTACAACTCATTTCAATTTAGAAGAAAATAAAAACACAATAGGTTTAGATATTGGAGAAAATAAAAAGAGGACTCAGGGAAAACGACTCACAAGCGCAATAATTAGGAAGACTACGAAAGGGCAGTTTGCACTCGTCTACAGAATACCCTTGAGAGAACATGAGTCCACCGGGAGGAGAGTTCCAAACAATGTAGCTTCTGGCACGTTTACTCACGCGGTCGCGAATAATCTAGAAAAAGAAAATAAAACGAAAACTGAATTAATAATCAGTGCATAATCGCACAACACCCCAAGTCATCCGAATGCGACAGTCTCGTAGTGGATCACTGACGTAATGGCTGAACATAAATGTATCCTCTATAATCGATGTGGTTCACGTATAATGGTAAGAAGGTCTACACTTAAAATAATCGTATGGTGCGACTGCTCTTATTGTATAAAACCACTATAATCGATTCACTCCCTGTTCGAACGAAGAGGTCAGTCCTTTCAGAGAACCTCATCACTGTCCTTAAGTATTGAAGGTTCGAGGGAATTCGGACCAGCAGCAGCCTCCGATGGTGACCCCAGACTAACGGACATGGCTCATACTGCATCACCCGAGAAGGAAGAAGTTTAGAAGCAGGAGGCCAATTGAAATGATCTTGAAAGTGCTCCGCCTAACGAGCCCTACGGCGCTCCTTTTTGTGAATCATGGCACACGCACTGTCTGATTGTCTCACTGATGCCAGGTTTCCTAAAGAGAAAATCCCACCAGTAGTACGTCGGTATACAGTGCTGACCCTTCGCTGCCGCGCAACCACCGCCAGTAGCACATCGGCTAAGGATAATACGAGAACCATCCGGTCCCTACGCAGGCTAGAACCTGCGCACTCAGATTACAGGGCAGGTTTGTGATCCTTAAGGCTACGGGCTGGGCTGGTTTCCTGGGACAGGTGGTGCAGACCAGCTGGAAGAGCATGCGATAACTGTCTAGTGCTGTTCCATTTCTTGAGTCCGACTAGTCTACCAAGATTCCTTGTCAACGCACAGGCTCCGCTTTAGTTGGCGCTTAATAGTCGGTTTGGTAATATTAAGCTCCGAATCAGCCGGAAGTTCTATTCTGAACTCCAACAGGTTCACCGACATCTCGGATATCTAGTGACTGGTGTGAGGGTCCAACATAGTGCATGACAGCCAAGATCCTATTCCACTGAATCTCAGTGTCATCATTATAAGGAAACGAAAGTTCGGTACTCAGGGCATCCTGGTACGCTTGCTTAACCGAGGACTGAATTAAATTCTCAGTTGCCAATCGAGGTAGACGCCTGGTACGCCTCCCAGTAAAATTTGTGGAAAAATGACAGCGTGCCAACGCATGATCAGAGTCGACGCAAGTATTCCAGAACAAGCGACAATCCAGGGTGAAAACACGCCACCTGTAATTTACAGTAAAGTGATCTTTTAGACCCATCGTAGACAATTCGGCATCCACCGTGTTTAAAAGCAGTTCTACTAGAAACAGCCGGTGTTAAGCGTGATGTTGCAACAAATGCTCCCAGGTCTGAGTTAAATCCACAGTTATTACCTTGATGAATCATTTGAAAGGTCAAACGACCTATTCGCGCATTCAAGTCCCCTTTAAGAGGTAGTATATTGAAATTAGTAACACCGCATGGTAGCGTGTTCAGTTACTGGTAGAAGGCGTCCTTGGCAGCGTAAGAATTCGTCGGAGACATAAGCGTAAACCACAAAGCGTCTTGTACACTTCGTGAATCAGTTTTAGTTGATGTCATCAAACGGGCGGCACATAAATGTAGTTCATGTGACTCCAATCAACCAAGGACGAAAGTCTTGGAGCTGAGAACGACGCCTACCATAGCTTCACCATAGGCTGCCGCATCAGCGTCTCCGGATGCGTGCAACCAATAGCGAGAGAAAAAGCCGGGTACAGTTAGTCTAACAAACCCATGAGGGTCATTGATCCGAGTTTCGGATACGCATTACACGTCAATACCCAGTGTGCCTAGTGTGCGTGGAAGTGAAGCTTAGTTACCCATGTCTTAGAGTGCGAACGTTGAACGCAGCCAGGGAAATGGGACAGTGTGGCATTATATGGGACTGTTGCCGATAGCCGTCCAGTAGATGGTGCAGAGAGATGGCAGCAGATGGTATGATTCCAGTGGCATTACGGGTGCTGTCAGTTAAGCTGGGAATTATAGTTGGAAGGTTAGCTATGGGGGTTGGGAGTAGATTAAGAGAAACAGGTGGAAAAGAAAGAAAAGAGGTATCAGTAGTAGCATGTGTTCGTTAATCCACCCTATTGTATGCAGCAGATAAGGCGACCCTTGATCATCTGCGCGACGGCCGATGCAGGATGAAGTTTATGTTAGAAGAAAAGTCATGGTTGTATGTGGGCTGGTATATTGCCAAGGCGATCAGACCCAGACAGGAGGACGATTAGGGTAATCATTTAAAGCCTTTGGCTCAAAAGCCTGTCCGCAAGACAACGGGGAGGTGGCAATGGTTGAGTTTTACAGAAATGGACGCCACCCAATTTTCACCCACATTCTGGAAGATTGTGTTTGTTTGACATCTAAGCATTGACCAAACTGATAGGAGTAGCTCTCGAGGGGCCCCGGGGGAACCATCCAGTATGGTTCGAAGAGGTAGGTACACAAACCGTAGCACCACGTTGAGGTTCAGTCTCGTTGCGACGGCCTGATGGTGTGAGCAAAGTGAAGGGACCCCACACTAGCGAGAAGTGGTGCGAAGGATTCTTAGGTTAGCAGCACAAGTTAATCGAGTACATCAACACTGCGTACATCGGGGTATTCATCATAGTAAATTTGAGAACAAAATACAACAAGTTGACTTCTATCCTGGCAATATCAAAATGAGGTATGCTGTATACATAAGAGGACAAGGAAATGACCTACCTCCAACGTGGTAAAAACAATTGAATCGATAGAGCGAAAGTAAGTGGTCCATAGAAAAGCCACCTGTTGCCGTAACTGAAGAATTTGGTGGTCGGACAACCGACGAAGCATCAGTGGAAGAGTGAAGACAAGACGCTCATCAGCCAAGACAAGAGCGCGTCTCCAATCGATTACCTCAGAGAATGGCAGTTCCCAGTCATTGCTTAAAACCACCGGAATGCAAGAAGCTTGCAACGCTTCTAAGAAGCTTTTAAGAAGCATAATGAGAAAGATAAGGGACGTTTAGAGCATGATATGTCTTGTGCAAAAGAAATAATGTGATGAAGAAAAAAGCGTGGGCTATCCAGGGCTTACCGATAGGAGCCGAGCCGACGACCACGAGGAACGAGACAGAAAGTGGAGTTGCGCAACAACTGATGATAATCATATCTAAGGGGAACGAAGAAAAGGGGCAAATCGAGAGAAGCTAAAACGTCAACTAAGAAAAATAATCACGACCAAGTGCGAGAGGGCATCTAAGGAGAAAAACTGACGGAGGCAATTAGAGTAAGAAAGTACGGTGAACATCTGTAGACAAACATTAGCGCTACTCACAAAACTATTATGATACAAACAAGTGACAATAATACACAGTAGACAAACAAGAAAACTCTGGACAAAGACAAAACTGAGTAATACAGGCTGTTATTAAAAAAAGAGCGTATACATCTCCGTAGCAGTTGCGTTCTGAGCCCGTAGACTATCAAGAGGAATGAGGTTCGCAAGTTACGTCTCTGACCCAGTACATACCCTTAGCGACGGCAGTCCAGGGGAAAGCAAAGGCAAAGTTAATGAATCGCTGTCTTTCAATACGCGAATCAGGAAATGATCAGTGTAAGTGACACAACTCTTCAAGCAGGTAATATATTGGGGTTACAACATCAACTCAGACGAGTTATGGGGAGCTGAAAAGCGAGAAATATCACTGATGTATATTCGATGAATAGCTGCTTATAGATATCCTCGGTGTGGCTGCGCCTGGTGTGAATGTTAACAAGGAACCTGTTTGTCTAAAACGCTCCACCTTGATTACTGGTTTCAAGAGACTGATTCGTTGCTGGGGAGGAGCGGGGTGTACGGTCCTCATGCCCGCGCTATGTTCAAAGAGTGGTTTCATGCAGTCAGCGTTGAACTGAATACAGGCAAAACCACCGCCTTATGTACGTATGCATGTAGTGCATGATGACGCCAGTCTATGTATATATGTATACCGAATGAATTCCACGAAGATATTCATACCGCTTTTGTACGGTTAACTTAGTGCAGGGAAACGGCACTCGAGCAAACCGGAAATAACATTACCAGAACATGAAGAAGGTGAGTTTACGACAAACTCATGTTGATTTCAGGTGTTACGAATCCAAGGCAAATTTGATCGATGCGAACTCCGTGGACTGATCATAAGGGCGGATGCTCAGGTGCAGAAGGTACTATTGCACGCGGAATAGAAGCATGATACGTCCGCTCCCATTCGATTTACTAATCCAGGCCAATAAGGTAGCGTATGTCGTAGTTTGCTTGCGTGCTGATTAATCTCGCATTTCAGAAGTAGATGTTGTTTGAGCTCCCCGGTGTGGATGCGCTTGATGTGAATGTTGACAAGGTGCCTACCTGTCTATCACCCATTATCTCGTCCATACTGGCTCCAGGAGACAGTTGGTCGTCGCTGGAGGGGACGGAGTGCACCGTCCTCGTGACGGTGCTAGGCTTAAAGAGTGGTTCCATCCTGTGTGGAACGGGCTACGGTCCAGCCAACGCCTGGTGTATGTCTGATGTGTATGATTTGCCAATTAGGCCGGAATGCCTCCGTTCTGCTAGTTGAAGGAGTGTGGGCCAGCTCCGTTGATGAAACGTGGCTCCCATTCACATGCCTCTCGGTCTTATTCCTTCGGGTTTACACCGGATATGGGGTGTGTGGGTGGAACTATGGGTGGTGCAGCGCAAGCCATCCATGGTCCCATTTGTAGGCGCAGGCGTACTGTGACTGTCCCCATGGACGTCACAGTGACAGACAAATCCGATTACGGACGCCGACAAATCAAGTACATTTGCAACCACTTTCCAATTTGGCAGACAACAGTGCTACAGCTGCGCAATGACTTCGTTGTTAAAACGTAGCTCCCATTAAAAAAAACAACCGGTCTCATTTCTTCGCATTTGCATAGATTTGAGGTGTGTGGCTGGTGCAGCGTAAGTCACCTCTGGTTTCTTCACAGGCGCAGGCGTCCAGTGGCTATCACATTAAGGCCAAAGTAACAAGCAAATCCAGGATCGGATGCCCACAACCATCATCATCAACAATAGCGGTACATCAGCCATTTGAACTGATGCTTCGCTGCCATACAACAATGATGACCTATGAAATAAAGAATAATAAGAGGAAGAAAAGCGGGACTTAACAGAAAACCTTAATGCCCTAAGCAAACATTAAAGGCCAAGGCGTCCACACGTTGTGTAGGTAACATACCATCGCAAACAGCTAGCCATAATGCAAAGATAAGGTGGCATCGGCGAGACAGCCTCCTTGCGGCTTTAACTGCCACGCGTCATAATCCGTCATTAACCCGCAGATAACTCAGTACCAAGCACACTTCAAACAGGCAATCCGATTAGGAGACGACAGCAGACACGCCACTGGTGTCGGTTGTGAGCCACGTCCTGGAAAGTCTCGGGCCAAGCACAAGGCGAGTCACGTGGACTCCAACCCGGAAGACGAGACGGACCAACGGCACCCAGTTTGGTCGTCAATGACTTCATTTCGAACTACCAAGTCAACTTCTCTCCACCTCGAGCCTTGTGCCACCCTACACCTGGCAGACTAAACAAGGCCCTCCTAGGTATGCGGTAACCAGGCACACGTAGCACGTGCCCGAGTCAACGCAACTTATTCAGTGCTATCTGTTGTTCTAGAGGGCTAGCATGATTATCACCACCTAGTACTCGCCTACGCACATCATCGTTGCGGACACCTTGGTACCATTCGACACCAGCACTGCTTTGCAGACAACGATGATCAAAGACTTGAAGGCGCCTCAGATCTTCAGACTGAAGGGGCCAAGTCTCACTCACATAGAGGAGAACGGCCCTCACTGTGGCCTTCAATACATGACCTTTCAGAAGAAGGGAAACCATCTTCTGTCGCCAAAGATGCCGCAGGTTGAAACAGACACTTCTGGCCTTTGCAATGTGTTAGCTGACGTCAGTTTCTATGTGCCAATCGTTGCTGACACCGCTGCCAAAGTAAGAGAATTAATCAACCACATCGAGTTTCTCGTCAGCAAAGGGTCAAGGGGTCGTAAAGTGGCTGGTGGTCCTACAGCAATCCTTTGCACTTTGAAGGTGCGAATTGTATACCAAATAATGGGACCACTCTAGACAGGCTATTCAGGGTTAATTGTACTGCCGCAACATCATCCAAAAGCAAGACGATATCGTCCGCATAATCAAGATCAAATAATCTTCCACCAGGAAGCATTTCAACGCCTACATCGTGAGATTATGCAATGGAACACTCCATGATAGAATCCATGACGAAATTGAACAAAAATGGGGAAATCGAACAACCCTGACGAACGCCACTTGTAATCGGAAAGCTATCCGATAGGCCACCGTAGACCCTGACGCGGCCTGTAGTGTTCGAGTACAGAGCATGTAGGATGTTTACATAATTCGTGGGAACACCTTTCCGCGAAAGTAATTCGAACAGAATCGGTCGATCGACTGAATCGAACGCACTCTTGAAATCAAGGAACACAGCTTTTGTCGGTCTGCGGTATGTGTGGCGCTGCTCTAGCACCTGCCGCAAAGTGAATAAAGGGTCTATGTAGGCACGCCATGGGCGGAAACCTACCTGCTCTTCCCGAATCCAAGATTCCCATTCCACATTGAGGCGACGAACGAGAATCGAGGCCAGTAATTCAGTCACAACTGGCGTTGGGCTAATACCCCTGTGGTTAGAACCGTCTGTGCGAGTGCCCTTCTTGTATATTACCACTATAGTCGATTCGCTCCAATCAGCTGGGACACTCCATTCATTCTAGATACGTTCGAATAGGGAGGTCAGTGCTTTGCAGAGGACCTTACCTCTATCTTTAAATTGTGTAGGTGGGAGGGAATCCGGGCCAGCGGCACGAAAGCGATTGAGGCCTGTGATCGCATTTCGGACCTCGGTCTCTGACGGAGGCTTTAAACTAACCGTCCATGACTCGTCCTGCATCACCTGAGTAGAAAGAGGTCGGGGAACAGGGGCACTGCTGAACTGATCTGGAAAGTGTTCCGCCCAACGAGCCATACGGCGCTCCTTATTGTGTATCAGTGCACCCGCGCCGTCTCTGATTGTCTCACTGACGCCTGGTTTCCTGGGACCAGTCGGGCGGATCAGCTGGAAGAGCTTGCGGTAACTGCCTGCTGATCCTGCCTCCTCCATTTCTTGAGCTTCCTTGTCAGTACGTAGGCTCCGGTTTAGTTCGCGCCCACTAACCCGTCTGGTCACATTGTATTCACAACCAGAAGGAAGGTTTTTTCTAGATTCCAACAGGTTCCGCCACCTCTCGGATATCTAGTGACTAATGGGGTGCCGACTGATAGCGCCACATGTAGATGCTCCTGCGCCGTGCATGGCGGCCGATACAGCGAAAGTTCGGTATGCAGTGCGTCTTGATAGGCTTGCCTGACTGAGAGCTGAGACAACGTTGTCATGGAAACGGGTCGGTGTGGCCTTTTAAGAGACTGTTGCCGATAGGCGTCCGGTACGTGCCGCGAGAAGGTTGCTGCAGATGTTGCTTCAGTGACACATCGATTGGTGTCAATTAAGCTGGGATTTATAGTAGTAATGGGGGTCAGGGTGGGAGTAAGAGAAAAAGGTGAAAAAGAAAGGAGGCGCCAGCAGTAGCATGTTTTCGCTTATCCGCCACGCTGTATGCAGCAGATGAGGCGGCCCTTGATCACCTGCGCGACGGCCGATGCAGGATGAAAGTTATGTTTGAAGAAAAAGTCATGGTTGTACGTGGGTTGTGATACTATCAGGGTGCCCAGGCCTAGACAGGAGGACGATTAGGGTCCTCAATCAAAGCCTTTTGCTCAAATGCCTGTCCGCAAGGCCGCTGGGAGGTGGCAATGATTGAGCTTTACAGAAATGGACGCCATCCCATTTTAACCCTCAACCCTGAGGACTAGGAGACTGAGTTTATCTGATCTCTCAGCATTGACCAACTTGGTAGGAGTATCTCTCAAGATGCCCGCAGGATCCAGCCAGTATAGCTCAATGGGTCAAGAAGGTATGTAGACCACCCTACCATATATATATATATATATATATATATATATATATATATATATATATATGTGTGTGTGTGTGTGTGTGTAATTTGGTTTAGTGCAACTGCGGCGAA